TTTGGACAGGCAGGGTGGTCTGGGGAGACGGGCGTGTGCGGGGTGGCCTCAGGAGCCGCCATCAAAGGGCCCGCAGGGGTGGCGCCAGGCAAGTGCCATAGTGGTCTCGGGACGGCTGGCGGTCAGTCCATTCATCTCCTAGGGTCAGTGGGGGAGGGGTGCAGAGAAGCAGCCACCACAGGCACACCACTCAGGGTGACCAGCCGTCCTGGGGTGCCTGGGACTCGAGACTTTCAGTGCTAGAACCAGGAGAGGCCCCTGCTGTTGGCCACTGCCCAGTGTTTCAGAAAGGACACAGTGACTGACCTCCCCTGTCTGGGGAGCTTCCTTCCTGTGCAGTGACCTCAGTCAGCCCAGCCCAGAGAGACCTGCCCGGAGTCATTTTGTCCTCCGCTGCCTCCACATAGGACAGGCCTGCCTCATGCTGTAGGCCACCTTCCATTTGTCCCGGAGAATCTCCAGGGGAGGAGCCGCTGGCCAGCTACCCACCCAGATCCCGCTGAGAGAACTCGGCTGGACAGCCGAGCCACCCCGGTCACCGCCCCACACCCCCGCCCGGCGCGGCACCCTCCAGCCATCACGGCGGGGCGCCCACAATCTCTCATCCTCCACCACCTCCACACCTTCGCCGGGCCAGTCCCTTGGCCTGGGACAACCTTTTCCCCATTGTCACCTCGTCACCCTACAAGACTCAGCAGAGTGTTGTGACTCCAGCGGAACTATTCTCCGCCCGGAGGTGGGTCCGTGCCCCTGTTTGATCTGCAGCCCCCGGTCCTCCTGCCCACAACACCCGTCACACCCCAGGGCGGTGTTCAATTCACCGTCTCTTTCCACACCAGCCCTTGCACTCCCCCAGGGCAGAGAGCCCCGCCCGGTCAGTCGCCCTGGTACCCGAGCCCGCAGCACAGGCCAGGCCCGTAGTCGGGGAACCATTCATGGAGCACTCACTCTGTGCCAGCGGCCTGCTCATTTCATTCTTTCTGGAGCCCCGTGAGGCTGGTATAGCCATCGCCCCCCTTTTACAGATGGAGAAACAGAGTCACAGAGAGGCGAAATGACTTGCCCCAGGCCACACAGCCAGTGAAAGGTAGAGTCAGGGCTCGGACCCGGGGAGTCTGATTCCAGAGCCCAAGCATGAACCTCGACACTCTAGTCCTCACTAAGCTTTTGCGGAATTAATGAATAAGTGAAAACCTTTGCCTCTGCAGAGTTCAAATCCTGCATGTGGCGGTTGAGAGCTGTTTTCTTGGGTTCCCCATCCTGGGGAGGGCACTTTTGCCTGTGGGGGCGAGTTCACGGGTGCCATGAGGGGGACCTGCTGTGAGGGGTCGCCCCAGGGGATGCAGAGAAGAGCCTCAGGGGGCTTCGGGATGAAGGCGCTGGCCCTGGCTGGAGCCGTGGGCAGGCCCTCCGGCACCCTAAGGCCGCTGTCTGCATTTGACAGCTGGGGAAACCAAGGCTCAAAGACAGGAGGGGACCTGCCCATAGTCATGCGGTATGGCCGAGGCACAGCCATTAGGTCTCGGCTTCCCTATTTGCCAAAGAGAGAAATAGGTAGCCCTTGTCCTGCCCAGAGAGTCCCAGACGCAGAGACGCGAGGAGGATGACGAGCCGCGGGCCCAGCGGCTCCCGGAGGCCCATGGCCCCCTGGGGCCTGCCACCCCACTGTCTGGAATTCTGCCACCAGCCCTTCCTGTCCTTGTCTCCTCCTCCCCCTCACCTGCACGGCGGGACCACATGCCTCCCCACCCTCTTCCCAAGCCTCTTCTCCACAGTGAACTGAGAGGCATTCTGGTCCTTGGCTCAAAAATGAGTGCTCCCTGCTCTCCTATGGCAGAGCGTGGGGGGGGGTTAGTTGTTGGATGTCACTCACAAAAAGTCAGGCCCTTCTAGCTGCCTTACTGCTCCCGAGACCCCTGAGCCCAAGAGGACCCTTATCACTAGTTGGCTGTAGATGCAGGGGATGCTTCAGCCTCACCCTGCCTTAGCCAGGGCAGATGAAAGAGCAGCCACCTTTTTTTGGTCTGTGGGGACATAGGTAGCAGGAGCTTGGTGCTGGTGACCACCTGGGTGGGTGGGGGAGTGGAAATAGTGAAGGCCTCACTGGGGTCTGGGCCACATCCAGGAGCATCAGATCCAACTCACTCGTCCCCTTTTACTTATGGAAGAATGGCAGCTCAGAGATGTCAAGTGACTCAGAGGGGGTCACACAGCGAGCACATGGGTGGCAGAGCCAAGCTCAGGCAGAGCCAAGCCGAGCACAGGGCTCCTGGTTAGTGGCATCCAGACCTGCGCAGAATCACCGTGGGGGACGCTCAAAACAACACGTGCCCAGACACCAACTCAAGAAATTCTGATTCCACAGTCACGGGTGGGAATTGGGAATCCAGGTGTTTAAGAGCTCTCTGGGGTGGGGAAGCTCCATACCCCTGGGCTCCATCACCTCCCACTGAGGGACTGGAGCCTCTGCTCACGTAGAATTCAGGGGTGTCTGTGAATTTGGGCAGGGAGCACACGGACTTCTTTCCTTCCACAGATCTCGAACTGAAATTTAGCATTTGCCACAGTGGAAATCACAGGCATTGTCCAGTCTCATTAGGGCTGCCACAGAGGGTCCTGAAACATGGCTGATGCCCATCCGCCGCCCCGCTGTGTGCCGGCAACCGCTGGAGCTGCTGTGAGAACTTTTCACTCACTGTGGTGCTAAACAGCCACACGGTCTCGGTCTCACAGCCTGGCTTTTTTATAGCTTGCTAACGCCATTTCCGAAGGTTTGGTTTCCTCTCTAATCCTATGGATTTTGTTTTACGAATTTAAAAATGTGATTCTGAGGAGTCCGTGGACCTCCTGAGGTTCTAGAAAGGTCCGTGGACCAGAATAGGTTAAGGACCCTGTGTGGGGCAGCGTGGGGCTGAGCTCTGCAGGACCCAGGGCTTGGATCTCTGTAGGGACAGAATGGGCAGCTACAGCCTGGTGGGCCTCCAGAGACAGATCGGGGAGATGGGTCCCCCAAAGTGAGCTACAAGTGGAACGTGGGGAACGGATCTGGGCAGGAGAGAGGGCACCAGCAGGATGGCCAGCACTTCTCCATGGGATCGCAGAGAAGCCTCAGACCCCAGGCCCCAAGCCTGCCCGCTGCATCAATGTCCCTGTTCACCAGTGGCCTCCCGTCCCTGGGCACACGCTGGGCCACCACGCGCCAGCCTCCTCTTCCTCCCCCTTTGGTTGCCGTCTCCCTGGCTACATACACAGCAGCGTCAGGAGCCCATCCTACACGGGTCAGCCCTTCAGTCCGGTCTCCCAAAGTTCCTTTGTTTTAAACTCTACGTTTCTTCATTTTGCTCATGGAGAGAGAAATACAGATTACAAAGACGCAGCAAATGGTTTTTATAAACTCTTATTTTCTTGCCACAGAACAGCCTTTAATTAGCTGCAAGGACTACAAAGGGAACAGCGTTATAATGGGAACCGCTTAGAGGGAAGAGCCCACGGCTCTCTGCTCCTGAACTGAGACTGCTGCTCCACCAGCCACAACCAGGTTTGGTGGGAGTGACCCTCCTGCCGGGATGGCAGGCCCCCCTGTTCCCCCACTCAGTCCCTGTCTGCAGCGGCACAGCCTGTCTCAGTATTTCTTCAGGAAGCAATCCTGCCGTCAGGCAAGCCCGTCGGACAAGAAGCACCCAAGTGTGCCTCCGTCCCTGACCAAAGGCAGCTGCCCAAAGACCGCTGGCCAGCCCCGGGACAGACCGAGGGGCGGACAGGCGGAGGGGCAGTCAGACTGACTTCGGTGTCTCAGCTGGGTAAACGGTACAACAGCAGCCCCCTGAACCCTGCAGTTCTAGAGCCTACTCAGCCCCTGCGTGCGGGAGAAGAGCTGGTCTCCGTGTTCAGCCCAGAGGCACTGCCCTCAGACATGGTCCATTCTCAGCCTCAGACCATCAGCATGTCACAGCCAGAGGGGCCTCTGTTCAAGGCACAGAGAGGTTAAGTAGCTTGACTAAGGGCGCTCAGCAAGGCAGCACCTGAATTAGGACTCAAGCTCGGGGCCTCTGGACCCCCAGTCTCAGGTGCCTCCGGCCCATCTGGCCTCCTGCTGGAGAAGGGGGTAGGAAGGCAGTAGGGGGTTGTCTGAGGTCACAGCTCATCAGCCCCACGACCTAAGGAGTCAGGAGAAGTCTCCTCCTGAGTTCCAGCCTCAATCAGAGGTTCTCAGTTGAAGTCCTGGACCCCCATCCTTGTTGAGGGACTCAATTCAACCAACCTCTGGGTCCCTTTAGGCCATGCATGGAGGCCAAAGCCACCCAGAAACACTTTCTTGTCCTGTGTAACTACATTTGCAAACCTTCCCGAGGCTTGTTCCCTCCACCAATCCAGTTTCACTGCCATCCGAGCTCACAAGTGCTCCACAAAAGCCGGTAGCCTCCTGTTCCCCCCGCTGCACCCTCACCCCGGGGGTCGTGTGGAGGACATGGGAGAAGGTCCCCAGGGGGTTCTCAGAAAGGGGCAGCCTTGCTTCCTCCTGCTGCACAGCCCTCAGAAGCTGGTCTGGCTCTGGGAGAACGGAGTGTCTCCTTGAGTCCGGGTCTGCCTGAGCCCAGGTGGAGGGTCCAGGCTCTCTGGGAGGGCCAGGGGCTGGGGCCACAGGACCCAAGAGCCCTGTTAGTGAGGCAGAAAGCCACAGGTCACAGGGACACCTCCCAATCCTCTCTACCCCGGGATCCCCCGAGATCTGCCCTTTGAAGTCTTGTGGTATCCATTGCCCCTACAGCTAACTGTCCCCACCAGCTGAGGACAAAAAAAGAACACTTTACTCCAAGAGACCATGGAGGCCACCAATCCCTCTTCCCACCTCCGGCTTTCAGGGGCCAGCGGATTTGGGTGGACAGCTGTGCCCTGCAGGCAGCCGGCATAGTTGGTGGAGGGACGTGGTCTGGGGCCTGGCCACAGCTCTGCACCCGAGACGACCAGCCCAGAGCCCGGGGCGACAGTCAGGTACTCACCGCGGATGAAGGTCGGCGTGTAGGTCGGGAAGGAATCGAAGATGCTGTTTGATGCCATGCCCCGCGCTGAGGAAGGCGAGAACTCGACCCTTTGGGGGGATGGGTTGGGATTGCCTTGGTTGGCTGCTGCTATATTTTTTCCTAGCTACTTTTGAACATAAAGGGGTGGTGGTGTGTTGCTTTTTGTTTGTTTTTGTTTTGTTTTGCCTCTTCCCCCCCTACTGCTACAAAAAAGAAAAAGGAAAGAACGCGAGAGTGTGTGTGAGCGAGAGAGAAAAAAAATCCTCCCCAAGGAAAGTAAGTTTCTGTTTGTACCCAAGAATTTGGATTCTCGGTCCCACAGGAATGTCTAGCCACAAATTCTCAACAGAAGCGCATGCAGAGTGTATCATTAGATGGCGGGAAGGGGCCTTCAGCAGCCAGGGCGGAAGAGCTCGCAGGGCAGCGAGAGCCAAGCCAGGCCAGCATCAGCGCCACGGGGAATGAATGAATGAGGCTCACCCCCCGACACAGCCCCTGCTCCAGTGGGTGCGAGGGTGGCTCCGGGGGTGGGGAGGACCGGGAGCCAACCAGCTCCCGCGCAGGGCCCCGAAGGCAGCTGAGGGCCTGGCCTTGTGGTTCTGTGGTTGAGGGACCAGGCCTTCGCAGTGTCAACCCAACCTCAGCTCACAGGATGCAAGAAGCCAGCTCGCGGCTTTGGCCCATTGGCTGGGCTGTGGTCACCTGGGCTGTGATGTCACGGCCTCTTAGCTGATCTGTGGCTGTCTTTCTCTCTTTTTTGGAAAAGAAAAAAAAAAGAAAGAAAGAAAAGGAAAGGAAAGGAAAAGAAGAAAGGGAAAGAGAGAGAGAAAAGTGATGGCTTTTATTTGTGGGGCTGGCCTCAGCACACTGCCCAGAAACAGAACTGAAAGCAGTTGGAAAGGGGGCGGCCGGGGCCGCGGTTTGGATGCTGTGGGAGACTCCTTTTTAATTAAGGCCAGCGTTGGCCTGGGCGGGCTGGGAGCCCTGCAGGGCCCTCGCCGGGCACAGGGTTTGGGCCCACCAGCGGGTGGAGGACTTCCCTCCATGCCCCCCACTCCTGGGCTGTAGCCAACGCCACCGTTGTCCACCACCACCGCTGCCAGAGAGAGGCGTCCACATGTGTGTCTGGGTGGCACTTCAGGGGGGTTTTATGGGAGCTGGGATTAAGTACAAATAGGAAACACATGAAGCACCATCTCCAGCGCTCACGCCTCGCTGTGGCCTGCCCGCCGAGAAAGGCTTCCTTGTGAAAGCCGGCAGCACGGGGTGCCGCGGGGCCCTCCGTGGAGCCGGGGTTCTGAGGCCTGAGCTTGTCACTGGCGGCCTTTTACTCATTTTGCTCACCTGTGCACCCCTCTGGGGTTCCCGATCCAGTCCGATGTGCTTGGACTTTTCTGCCTCCTGACAGCTGCTCCTGCTGTGCCCTCAGTGTGCCTTTTGTCAGCCCCTTCTAGCACCCTTCCTGTCCCAGAAAGTTTGAGGCTCAGAGGGACCTGGGTGATTCAACCCTGGGTCGATACTTTTATGTTCCCAGAAGCTAGGTCAGACATGGAGGCGGGAAGTGGTGGCTTTTCCTCTTTCCCTTGCAAACTCTATTGTCCCATTTCACATGCCAGATCACTGAGGCCCAGGACACTGAGGTCAGTTTGTGCAAGGCCTCAGGTCTCTGCGTGGGGTTAGCATGCCGGGCTCTGACTCGCCAGCCCCGACCTCAGCCATAACCACAGCACCTTCAGTGCCCCCTGATACTAGGTCCTGAGACTTTACAAAACCCTCTGCAGCCCGGGCCCTGTCCCCCGGAGGTCCTCACTGGGGGCCATCACTGGGAACCAGGCCCTAGCACCAGCCTCAGGCTCATGGTGGTCTCTGTAGGCCAACACGGAGCAGTGGGGGCATCTGGGAGAAGGAGGGGCCATTCCAAGTCCCACAGAGACGGGTCTCTGGCCACAGCTACACTGAGTCACCTGGGAGCCGGACACCCTCGGACACTCGCTGCCTGCGACCACGTGCTGCTCCACGAAGGACAAGGCTCAGCCATCTGTCCCCAGGCGGCGAGTCGGTGGTGGTGGGGGTCTACTTTGCCCAGGGAGGAAGCAGGTTTATGGTGGAAACCACAAGACTCTGGAGTCACATTTCTAGAATCCAGTCCCGGCTCTGCTGACTTCCACTTGCAAGACAATGAGGCTAGTCACTTCCTTTCTCTGGGCCTCAGTTTCCTTCCCTGTAAAATGGGGATAACACATTTCACAGAGAGACAGGCAACTGGGCGAGGATACAGTAAACATTGGTTTCCTTGCCTGAGTCTCGGTGACGTTAGTTTGGGCTCTGTTATGAGTAAGCGCAGGTAGGGAACCATCGCAGCACGTAGGCGGACAGACTGTCCCCGGTGTAAACTCATCATCTGGCCGGGCCCCAGGCTGGGCCATGGGCTCAGCGGTCCAGATGGAACCTGCCAAGGGGCCTCTGCCTCCTGGTGACATTCGCAGCATCCGGGGTCTGCCATGTTGTAGATGAGATCAGAGACGGACAGAACTGGGAAGATCCCTCTAACAGAAGCAGATGAGTCCCCCCAAGGGGCAAGGACTCAGCCCAGCTCACGGTGAGTCAGTGGAACCCAGGCCCTGCTTCCCGGCCCAGGAGTTCTTTCCACTTACCCAACACCACCTCCAGTTTCTAACATGCGCACTTTGCTGGTTTTTTCCACACGTAAGAACAGGCCCCCAGTAACACTTACAGCTTGGTTCCCCCGAGGGACTCTCCCTCCCTGGGAAACCGAGTCCAGGCCCAGGAATGGGAGGGGGCCCCGGAGGCTGGGGCCCCAGGGGTGCGTCTGCCCAGCAGTGGTTTCGTGCATTCCTGGGGCAGGCAGCAGACTTGTCTTGGGCACCAAGTTTCATCCTTCCCTTGAGAGGCTTATAACATGCCCATCAAAAGCATGTGCCAGACTTTGAATGAACCCCTACAGCCTGTCTGGGGAAGCAGAAAGAACATTCTGGAAGCCCGACTTCCAGGCTTCTAAGCTAAGAGATCATGGGCCAGAGGCTTAATCTTCTGAGCCTGCTCTGACAGAACCCTAGAGGTGGGGCCGGTTGCAGTACCCACCTTCCAAACTTGCAGAGAGACTCAAATGAGAAAATGTGGAGTGTGCCCCGCACACTGAGGGTGCGCAGTTCCCAGGGTCTCCCTTTCCCCCACCTTCTGATGGTGCATTTTCGTGGCAGGCGGTGGGCAGTTGGGCTTCCTCTTGTTCTCCATTGGAAAAAATGATCTGACAGCATAGAAATATCTGAACCAATTAGATCAGGCTAAACCAAAAACTTGGTTGAAAAAGGGAATCATAAAAAAAAGTAGTTATGTTCCTTAAATTTTTTATTTTAAATTTAAACTTACAAATGTGCCTCCAACGGCCTTCCTCTTGTTCTTCTAGCTTAAGCCAACCCAGGTGGCACCTCCTACAATTTCCAGGTTTGGCTTCTTTCAAGTGAAATGTGAATGTAAAGATGCTTAAGAAGCAATCAGCATCCAGTGGCATCTGGATTTTGCTGTTTCCCCCAATCCTGTACAGTGTCCCACCCATGCTTAATTCAATTTATTGTTTAGTAACTTGCCTTTACTGAATCTTTCCAAGGTACTCGACCTCGTTTCCATAGAAACAGACACTCCGGTTTTGCATCATATCATCGTTAACAGAGCTTCGCCATCAGTGAAGGGCCAGCCAGGAAAAGAGAAGCCACTTGAGTATTGGAAACTGAGGGAAGTTAAATCGGGGGTTATAGGCAACACAGGTGGTAGGAGAGCTCTTCCCCCCAAAGATGGTGAGGATCCTCAACATTAGCCACAGCAGGAAGTCCCTGCCACCCCTTGTCACGAGGAAGACAGGGAGAGGTGTCGCTGCCAGGGACCCCTAGTGGAAGGAGGATTGCGGTAGAACAGTTTAGCGTTTGCTGGAGCTGCAGAGGAGACTCAGCCACCGTGAAGTCGCCCCGGACAGAGAGTAAAGGGGCTCCTCTCTTCTCTCCATCTTTCAACCCCTCCCAGCACCTCCCCTTGGTCAAGTGGAGCAGGAACCAGCTGACTTGGTGGAATCGGAGCCCTGAGTTACAGAGCCAAACAGGGGAGGGGTAGACTGGATCCAGGGCAAGCTGACCCCCAACTGGCCTAATATCCAAAGAAGCTCTGTAACCGTGAAAACCAAATGGGCATAAACAGGTTAGGCACAAATCCAAGTGATTTTTGGCAAGTTGACAGCTCAGGGAGCTGGCAGAGCAGAAGGGGTGGATCCCAGGGAGGGACCTGCTCTCCAGAGGTGTCCCCTGGAGTGTTACACCAGAGGGGCCAGGAGCCCCCTGAGCCGGTTGCATTGGGGGTCAGTGAAGAACGCACCTGTTGTGAATGGCGACAAAATCCATTTTCCTAACCTGTGTTCAGGGCTGATCTTTCCACCATGGCCTTGGGTTACCGTGAGTGGGGAATTAAGTCACCTGGCATGAGCACTGGCTGCAGGGCCCACCTGTGAACGCAGTTGTGTATGTACAGAGTGTGCAATGCCTGCAAACCCGCTGGGCCCTCCCAGCGACTGGTGGGACAGGGGTGGCTTCCCCCCGCTTCAGGTGAGGGAAACACCAGCCCCAGGACTGACCTCAAGTTCTAGCTACAGGAGTCAGTGCAGCCAGCTTGGGTCAAGTGGGGAGCAGATCTGAGGTGAGCTCTGGTCTTGGAGCCCAGATTCTGGCTTCCCACCAGAAAATCGCAGTGCTGGGCCCCAGAAAGGTGTGGGAGCAGTGTGGCCGCCCGCTGCAGGCCCAGCACGGACAAGCCAACATAAGGGGCCCCCTTCCGTCTCCCCACCCCCGAGGCCAGGCCCACCTTCTGCTCTGCTGGAGCTCAGGGTGGGGGATGAGGCCTGCAGGCCACACGGCTCACCCAGGGACCAGGATGCTCAGGCCCAGCCCAGCCCAGGGGTCATTAGCTAAGGACCTAGCCCGTGAGACACACACGCTGAGAGTTTTAGGCACAGTATCTCCAGTGGTGGGCCCTCGGGACAGCCGACCGTGCGAAATGGCCTCCCTGCTGGTTTCCAGGGCAGCCAGAGAGGCGAATTCTGGCTCAAGGGCACCCCGTCTGCAGGTGGTGGAGGCAGCATTCAAACCCAGTCTGCCCTCTGCCTGCTTTCTGGGCTCCTCTGCCCTCCTCACCCCCAGCCTTTCTTTCCTGTTCTTTGTTTTGAAAACTGCTCCTGGTACCAGCTTCAGAACCAAACCCCTCCCCCTCCCCTTCCTGCCTCCCCCCTCCTCCGGGACCCTCCCTTGCTGGCCTCACTGTTAGCCCACCACGTATCTTAGTAGCTTTGAGGACCCTCTGATGACAGTGTTGTCCTCATCAGGGACCCCAATAGCTCCACGCGTGGCCTTTCCTCCCACCTGGAATTCCCCCATTAGTCACCTTGGGGTTTGGATACACAA